TAGAAATATGAGTGGCTCTGTAGAAATATGAGTCACTCCGTAGAAATATGGGTGACTCTGTAGAAATATAACTGACTCCGTAGAAGTATAACTGACTCCGTAGAAATATGAGTGGCTCCGTAGAAATATAACTGACTCCGTAGAAATATGAGTGACTCCGTAGAAATATAACTGACTCCGTAGAAATATAACTGACTCCGTAGAAATATGAGTGGCTCCGTAGAAATATGAGTGACTCGGTAGAAATATGAGTGACTCGGTAGAAATATGAGTGACTCGGTAGAAATATGAGTGACTCCGTAGAAATATAACTGACTCCGTAGAAATATGAGTGACTCCGTAGAAATATGAGTGACTCCGTAGGAATATAACTGACTCCGTAGAAATATAACTGACTGCGTAGAAATATAACTGACTCCGTAGAAATATGAGTGACTGTGTAGAAATATGAGTGACTCAGTAGAAATATAACTGACTCCGTAGAAATATGAGTGGCTCCGTAGAAATATGAGTGACTCCGTAGAAATATGAGTGACTCCATAGAAATATAACTGACTCTGTAGAAATATGAGTGACTCCGTAGAAATATAACTGACTCCGTAGAAATTTGAGTGATTCTGTAGAAATATAACCGACTCCGTAGAAATATGAGTGACTCCGTAGAAATATGAGTGGCTCCGTAGAAATATAACTGACTCCGTAGAAATATGAGTGACTCCGTAGAAATATGACTGGCTCCGTAGAAATATAACTGACTCCGTAGAAATATGAGTGACTCCGTAGAAATATGAGTGACTCCGTAGAAATATAACTGACTCCGTAGAAACATAACTGACTCCGTAGAAATATAACTGACTGCGTAGAAATATAACTGACTCCGTAGAAATATGAGTGACTCCGTAGAAATATAAATGACTCCGTAGAAATATGAGTGGCTCCGTAGAAATATAACCGACTCCGTAGAAATATGAGTGACTCCGTAGAAATATGAGTGGCTCCGTAGAAATATGAGTGACTCCGTAGAAATATGAGTGGCTTCATAGAAATATGAGTGACTCCGTAGAAATATGAGTGACTCCATAGAAATATAACTGACTCCGTAGAAATAACTGACTCCGTAGAAACTGACTGACTGTCATGGAGGACGGTCATGAAATTTCAAGCTCCACTCAAAAGTCAAATAACAACCTAATTTTGGCTCAGTCTTTAATAAATTTGATCGATAATCATTCAGAAGGGACTGACAAGGTTATGGACGGGAATAATGGCGAAACACAGAAGCTTGTAGAAGAATTAAACACTGAAATTTTAACGACATCGACCGCAGCGGTTAAAGCAAAATTATCGAAGGATTCCTCGGCAAAGTTACACGGTAAAAGAGACAAGATCATGGAATATTGCAGGTACAAATTTCCTAACTTTCCAAAAGACAAACCCTTACGTAGAATAACCCGTTCTGGGGGGAATTCTGCAAACGAGAAATTGGCGAGTGATATTATTGCCTTAGTGAAATACTGTTGTTCAGAAGAAATCACAGTTGAGATCAATGAGTTGTTTAAAAAGTCTTCGTCTGTACATCCTGAAATGTCGTTCAGTAGCTCGCAAGGTCAAAAAATAACGAACTGTACTGACATTGACCAATTTACGAGTTTAGCTGAAAATTTAGATATAAAATTGTGTACATTGAGAGAAGACTTTGATCAGACTGTGACATGCCTTAAAGACGAGATCTCAGAGTTAAAGTCTGATTTATGTGCAAAGCAAGCTAAAATTCAAGCTCTTGAATCGGAACTTGCCACATTTAAGGGGAATTGTAAATCTTCTTTGGAAAATACGAAGGCGAAACTAGAATCATGTGAGATTGAGTTAAATAAAAATGAAGAAAACATAGCAAAACATGAAAGCAATTTTCAAAAGCTATCTAAAGACCTTGAGAAACTTAGAAAGGAAACAAAAGAAATTGGCAAAGTAAAATCAATTAGTAAAAACCCATTAGCGATAACAATTGAAAACCAATCTTCTGAGTCAAACAAAAATATATACGTAGAAGCTGCAAATACAATTTTGAGCTCAGAGGAAATTAAAACAAAAAAAACTGACAAAGCAAAATCAATTAGGGAAAATTCATTAGCGACAACAATTGAAATCCTATCTCCTGAGGCTAATAAAAATACATATGCAGCAGCTGTAAACATAAATGCAAATCTGAGCCCAGAAAATCACTCGAGTGTTCCAAAAACTAATCCAACAAAACATAGTTCCAAAGACAGTTCTCAATTACTGAAACCGGCAAAGGGAAACAACAGCCCGAATAAGCAACACAGTCATGAAGCTCATAGTGATCATTCAGCAACAAGCAGTGTTAACGATGACCATGATTTATTTGTCGGAGTTGAAAAGAGGAAAATAAAACGACTCTATTTAGGGGGCGTACGCGAAGGGGTAACAGATAAGTTAATTTCAAACTATATCAATAAAAAGGGAATTACCCCAACGTTTGTAAGATTAATGAAAAGCAAGAGGAAAGGCACCGTAGCCGTCCGAGTAAACGTTCTAAGTGAAGATTTTGATCGCGCCTCGGAGAAAGACTTTTGGCCTAAGCACGTAT